CTGCGTTATAAAATCTATTGTAACATCCTGCTAAGGCCTATTAGGCAGTGGCAAAGGGTGAAGGAGCCTATATAGGCAGTGTTGTAGAGCCACTAATTATCTGCACTTTAGGCAGTTATTACAGTACGCCTTTATGTTCTTTCTAAGCTCTTTCTAATTATATTAACACATAATCTTTTTAAGCGTCTTTTTTACACTAAAGTAGCCTGCTAATAGGCTGTTATAGCACTCCTAGAATGCTTCTGCTTTCTCTTAGTCTGTTGTTAGAGTCTTTCTTCCTGTATTAGCTATAGCATGTTGTTCTAGCCTATTCTAGGGATAAGTGTTTTTGTTAAGGTTCTTTTTGTCCTTTGTTTTACTCTTAGTGTCTAATAAGTCTGTTTTATTATAGTCTTTTTTAATACCTAATATAAGGTTTTTATTATTATCCTTCTCTAGTTCTTTACCTATAGCTCTTTTAAGATCTAGCTGTTTTAGCCTTTATTCTCTTTTAAGGCAGTCTCTAGCTAAGCCTAAAGAATTTTAAAAATGTGTAATAGCTATAACTATTAATTCCTTATTATAATTTTGTTAATTTAAGAAGTTATGTATGTCTATTACATACGCCACATTCCTCTTTTAGAAAGGCTGTTGTAACTTCTTAATGTAGTTAAGTCTTTTTAAGGGTCTATCTGCTAGGTTTAGCTTCTCTAGACAGTGCGTAATAATAAAATTATATTCTATTATCCTTTTGTAGGCTTAGACCTGCTAGTAGTTTAAAGTTTTAGTTTCTATAAACTAGCAAAGATTATTATAGTCTATAAAAAGTTTAAACAGTAGACCCTAAAGGTAATGTTGCTAATGTGCTAAACTTTTATTAATAGCAAGTAACTCTTTATTATAAGTATTATAATTATACTTAGCTTTGCTTATCTTCTTTAAGAAGAAGCTAATTAGCCTTTATTAAGCCCCTCTAGTCTTATCTAAGACTAATTAGCTTAAAATGCTACAGATTGCGCCCTTTAAGGCGTTAACCTCTACTTTAGTTTTCTTATTAGCATTAAAATAAGCTAATATAAGAACTTTAAAGAATAAGTTTTAGAGCTTTTAGAAAGCTGCTTTGCCTTTAGAACTAATATTAAGCTTCTAACTTTCTTTCTACCTTTACTTTTAACTACTTTTTACTACGTCTAGGCCCTTCTAGGTTAGCTTAGTAAGGGGTAGGGCAATTAGAGAGAAGTTAGTAATAAACTGCCTATAGTAGTTTATAAACCCTATAAAAACGTAAATATCCTAAACAGTCTTTAGTATTAGCTACTTCTAGATTGTCTTAATCCTTAAAGAGTTAACTTTAACTCCTTTTAGGCAAACTATGTACTCTAGGTACTTAGTCTTCTGCATGTAAAATTTGCACTTACTAAGTTTTAAAAAAAGCTTTGCTTTACATAATCTTTACAGCACTTTTTTAACGTAAACAACTTGTTCCTTTTCTGTGTTAGAATAGACTAGAATATTGTTAAGGTACACAATACACGTTACATTAACTAACCCTGCTAGGGCCTAGTTAATATAAGCCTAGAAAGCCGCAGGAGCATTAGTAAGACTAAAAGGCATAACCTAGTACTTAAAATAACTATATTAAGTCTAGAATGCTGTCTTCTACTTATCTCCCTTGCAAATACATAATATATAGTACGCATTATAAATATCTAGCTTTGTATACTACTTTGCCTTCCTAAGTCTCTTAAGAGATTCTAAGATAAGCAGCAGTAGGTAATAATTTTTTATTATAATCTAGTTTAAGCCTTTATAATCTACATAGAGCCTTAACTCTTTATTCTTCTTTTTTATAAATAAGATTAGAGCTCTTGTAGAAGACTTAGACCTCTAAATCTACTCTCTCTGCAGATAATTATTAATATATTTGTAGAGATACTATAACTTGTACTCTAATAAGCTATACAGTAGTTAGTAAGAAGGCTTTATCTCTTCTTCTAGCTTAATAGCTAGATTCTGTGGGCTATGTAGTAGTACTTCTAACATCTTGTTAGACTTAACTATGTTTGCATATTCTTTGTACTCTAGTCTTAACTTAAGCTTTATAGGTCCTAAAGAATCTTTAGTGTTATTAGACAGCACACTGCAGACGTAGACATCTATATTAGGACTCTACATAGTTTGCTTAAACTCTGCTGCGTCTTCTAAGGCTACCTTAGCGTACTTTAGCACACTATAGTCCTTTACGCCCTTAAATAACATACATTTTATATAAAAGTTTAGCTTTAAATTAAACTAATTAATCTAAGGTAAACCTAAATATATTAGGGGTCCTTTTAAGTCTATTACTATAAATAGCACCTTATAAGTCTAGACCTTTTTTTAGGAGTCTATAATCTTTATGTTTGCAACTATAAAGCTGTAGACAGCAAAGTCTAATTTATTAGGTGCCTTTAGAAAGACACCTAGTAGGGGCTTAATCTTAAGATCCTACTCTTTAGCTATTATAGTAGATAGGACATTTAATTTAGCTCTTTTGTCTACTATAGCCTAAAGGTCTTTTAATAACTCTATGCTTACTGTTACTAATAACAAGGTTAACCTTTTTAAGTATAATAAGTTTTAAAGGTTTCTAAGCTCCTTTTTATTACTTACTAGAGTAATATAGGCTAAGAGAAAGAAGCTTAGTTTTTCTAGCTCTGCCCTTTTCTTTTTTACTTATTTTTGTTAGACTTATTTTTATCTTTATCCTTTATAGGATAATCTAGGGAAATATAACCTAGCTGCTTATAATTCTAGCAAGTAACCTTTGTTTTATTAGATTTCTGCCTTTTTCTAGCTTTTTTTTAGCTTAAAGGCTTTTTTTATTCTTTTTTAGGCTTCTTTAAGTTCTTATTAGCTAGAAGTAAGGTAAAATGCTTCTGTGTTTTTTTCTTCTTTAACTTTAGCCCTTTTCCCTTCTGCAGGCAGCAGTAGGATATGTTGCTCTGCTCTTCTACCTAAGCTAGCGTCTCTTGCTTACTTTATAGGATATACATTAGATCACGCTTAATCTTGTTAGATAGCGTGCTACTAAAGTTTACTGTTATTTTTTCTAGGCTCTTCTTATTAACTTTAGTCTATAATAGCCTAAGGTAGGCTAGAAGTTTAGTTAGAGACTAGTTAGGTTGTTATTTACAGTTCTTTATAGTGTTATAAGCTACCTTTTTTTATTTTGCTAGAGTACTTAATGCATTAAGCATCTTGTTTTTAAGATCTTGCTATGTTAGTAACTATAATAAGTTAATAAGCTTTAAATAGGTGCAGTATGTCTCCTATAGTAATTATAGTGTCTTATTAATGTATTATAGGCTAAAAGAGATCTTCTGTGATTCCTAAGTAAAGCTTAATAGACTTTTTTAGTAATAGTCCTTATTATCCCTACACTACTAGTTGTAGTCCGCCCTGTTCTTCTTTTTGTATTAGTGCGGCAGTTTAGGACGCGGTAGGTTTGCTTAGTCTTAGGTAAGTTTTAGTATAATAATGTTTAATACCTTAGTTAGCAACTTATTAAGCGCGTTTATATTGCCTGCCTTAAATTAACAATAGATTTCTATTATCCTAGCTAGTTCTTACGCTTCCTGCTGCTCTTGCAGCTAGGCGTGGGCTTCTGTTAAAGCCTAATTTGCGGGGGTGGACTGTGCGTTGCTTGGTCCTGCACTAGCCCTTCTAACCCCTTCTAGGCCCTAAACGCCTTCTAGATAGCTTAATAAGCCTAATCTATAAGGATTTTTATTGTCCTTTTTACTTATCTTTTGCTTTGTTCCTCCCTACGTTAGTGTTAACTCTAGTTAAGTATTACTAGAAGCAGTAGTTTTAGCTAGCTTTTTAGGTAATCTTTAAGCGCTAGTTGCATCTAATTCTCCTCTAGCGTTTTGCTTTAACACTATTACGTAGGAATGTTGCCCTTAAGCGATATGCTAGCTTGTAGAGCAATTTAAATGTAAAGATAGGATAGTAAGTAGCACAGATAGCACTAAGAGCAAGCTTTTAAAGAAAGATAGGAGTGTATTATAAGAGAGATAAATTGCTGCTAAGCTTTGCTTGTTAGGATTCATGCTTATATACAAAGCACAGGTCATACAACCTCCAAACAGGTCAGGTGAGGCCATACTGGCCCGTTCTGGGACATCCGGCCTTACAGTACTTAGGGCAAGATGTAGAGGAGAGTTAGAAAAAGAAGGGGGCACGCGGCGTTCCAGGTGTACAGTCTAGTCAACGCGTGCTTAGAGTAGAAAGCGTCGTTGCCTAATTATAGTTTGCCTGGTAACAGCTATATAAGAAGCTTAGGAAATAATCTTAGAGAGATATAAATTAGAGGAATATATAGTATAAGATATTTAATAGTATTCTAGTTATTAGAAATTAAAAATGCTACTTAGTCTATGTAAAGAATAAACTAAACGTTAAATACACCTTCTAAAGAGTAGTTAAGGCTAAAGCTATATACTCTAATCCTGCGCGTTGTGCGCGCTGTACCTCTTAGTGCGCGATATTCTAGGCTTGTGCGCACTAGAATCGTCCTCCTATTAGACAAGACAGCCCCCTAGGATGTTATTCAGCTGTACAGGTTTTTTTTCGCCCGGTTGATCACGTGACCTGGTTGGTTCGCTATACAAGGGGTTCCATCGTTGCTTGTGCGATAGTGGGGTTTCCTCTTAGCGTTCTTTTACAGTCCTATCATAGATCGTAACACTAACATTCTCTTAGTCCTTAGAATAAGAAGGGTAAGAAGAAATTAATTATAAAGCTTATTATAGAACCCTAGCTAATAAATTATTAAGGGTAAAATATTGCCCTTCTTATAAAGTATTGTAACTAGATAATAATATAATTTTATTTTCTATACTTTATTACCTCCTACTCTATAAAATCTTGCAATAATTCTAATTATATTAAGCTCTAGAGCTTCATTTCTGTGTGACAATGCTAGGCTAAATCCGTGCGCCAGGCGAGGCTGGGCGTCAGGTGCCAAGATATGGTATCTAAAAACTAATTACCCCAGCCAGCGGGAGGATGACATTTACAGTTGCCGTAATCGCAAGCCCGACTAAGGCCGCAAATGCAGAAACCCTATCCCTCCATTTCCCAGAGCCCTTCTTTTTCTCAATCTCCTCAGCTACTTCCTTTCCCAGCCTCGACTGGAGCCGCCGCCGTCGTTCCAAGTCCCCCTGACGTTGGCTAATTAGCGACGCCCGTTGTTCTTCAAGTTGACTCCATTCCGTTGTGTTCTCGACTTCCTTCGCCTTCACGATCCTCTGTTCCAACTTCTGAATTTTGTTGTTCGATTCCACAATCCTGCTATCCAGACGTGGCACAACAAGCCGACCTGCTGTTGTTTCCTCTAACATTTTCCCTTCGTGGACTAATTCAGTCTGTATATCAAGCACAACGTCAGGCTTCCGTGCGAGTCTGCATACCAGCGCTTTTGCGGTAGCGGGCTTTCCATCGAACTGGCGAATTGTAGATCCTTTGCTCTCCATCACATTCCAATATTGGTCACGAAGTTCACGCTCTCGCTTCAGACCGACTTTCCTCTCACTCAATTGGTTCCACATCGTTGTCAGAAGGACGATGTTGGACATGCTTTGCTCGCCGCAAAGACGTTGGAACATTTCGAAGTATCTTCGGGCACTTCCCGACATCTTGTTATCCGTTATCCGGTGCATGTACACGATTCCCTTCAAGCGGATACCGAGTCTGTATTGTTTGAGGAGAAACTGTACGATCTCCTCGAGGATCTCGCTGTCGGATCTGTTGGAGTCGTCGAAGCCCGGTGTGTCGACAATTGCAACCCTTTCGGCCCCGATCCCGAGCCATACAATGTGGCATTTCTCTGTCTCTTTGTTTCGATGTCTTAGTACAATTTAGAACGAAGCTGCATCAAAGCCATTTCACCTACCAGAAGCCATGCTATGTCCCTCTTTAACAGAACCAGCGACCAGTTGATTGATAAAGTAACTCTTTCCCGACCCTGTCAATCCCATGACTAGGATCATGCTGTATATCGTGTCGTCCTCGTAGAAAGACATGTTGATGTCGGATACTGTGTCTCCCCAAAGTCAGTGAGACAAGAGGGTATTGGCGGGCTTCATGCTTTTTGGCGCAGCCGACCTCGAGGCGCCGAAGTTGTATTGCTTCTGGAGGCTGAATCCAGAACCTGCAAGCCTGATATTGGTGGCAGCAATCACTCTCTGCTGAGCCCAACTGTGAAACCAATGATAGATAGCCTGGCGCGCTCTTTCTCGCGGTTGCAGGCAGCAATTCATGTGGGGGGGTTTTCTTGATTGTGTCATGCTCATACAAATCGGGTGCGGGACGAGCGCCCGGTTGACGTATCACGCCAATAACATTGGAGGGCCGGAAACCCAGTGGAGGCGACGCCGGTTGAGCTGAAAGTGCATGAAAATCTCAGCCTCAGCATTGCCTGGCGTTGCCTTCGCTATTGACGAGGCTGACCAATCATGATGCAAGCCAGCGCGGGTAGCCACTACGAAGCAATCCAGGCAACGAGGCTGAGTCTCAGCCTCGTTAGTAACCCAAGTCGATCTCACGCTTTAGGTGCGGCTGCTCCTCGGACGCGCTTTTCCTTGTTTTCTATTCTTCATTCAATGATCCTTTTCACAAGTTGAACTCGTTTCATCACAATACCGCACCTCCAAGGACCTCATCCGAGCTCATTCCATACCGCAATGGACGCTTTCGCGGGAGCTTCCGAAGACGGAACATCCGCCCCGCGGATAGAGTTTCCACTGCGGCCGCGTGCACCAAAAGGAGTACAAGAAGAGCGCAAAGGATTCACACCCCGTCGATCCCATCAAGACCTTAAAAAAGCTGGCAAATCACCGGAATTCGTTGGTCAAAAGCAGCATCAGGAAAGAGATAATCCTTGGAAGTCATCGCCCGATCGACTTTCTGTTGACTACGGAATTCTAAATCTTCGCATTCGCGATGAAGAAACGCCTCGATCACCTTCGCCCCGATTCAGTCTTCAGAAAAGTGCCTTTGCTACAACAGCCGTGCAATTTCCTCCGCAGCGCCTGCACAGGGCTCTGAGCCCTGTACCAGCTACCTCACCGGACACCATTAGCAATATCAGAAGTTCAACACTGCAATCCCCACAAACCGAACCAGTTGCGCCGACTATCTTGATCGGTATCGATTTTGGTACAACGTAATGGCCTTCCTTTCTAATTATCAAAACATGAAAGGCTAATCATTTCAGTCATTCAGGTGTGGCATGGGCATATTCCAAGCAGCCAGATGACATCAAAATAGTAACAAATTGGGATTCCTTTGAGTGGGGAAATTCTGATAAAGGCAAAGCTCCCACAGCAATCTCCTACGGCGCACCAGTCTCTGATGCGGGCGTGGCGGAAAACAGTGGGGCTAACACCCCGAAAGAAATATTATGGGGATACGGAATGGGTGATGCAGAGTCGGTGAAGTGGTTCAAACTCTTGCTTTTGGACGAAGAGGACATGGAAGACGCTCAGAGGAACTCGGTCCAGATTAAAAGAGCGAGGGAACTACTGCGGCATGCAGACAAAACTCCCATTCAGGCTGTGGCAGACTATCTCCGGCTCCTATGGAACCACGCTCTGACGAACATCAACAAAGACTTCGGGAAGGTTGCGGTAGACGGAACACCATTCAGAGTGGTTTTGACCGTGCCTGCTGTGTGGACGACAAAAGCCAAAGACAGGATGACAAAAGCAGCGAAACGTGCTGGCATCCTTGATGTTCGACTGGCCGGCGAGACGGTTCTGAATTTCGTTTCTGAGCCCGAAGCAGCCGCATTGGCTACCTTCCAGGACCTCAAAGCTCGTCCAAATTTCCAGACTAGAGACACCTTTGTAGTATGCGACGCCGGAGGAGGGACTGTAGACTTGATCAGTTATCAAGTTCTCGATACCAACCCACTCCAGTTGAAAGAATGCGTAGAAGGATCTGGAAAACTCTGTGGCGCGATATTCCTTGATCAGGATTTTGAGGACCTCATGAGTCAACTTGTTGGGGATGCCTGGAATGTGCCCGAGGGTGACAAAAGAGAACTCATGAGTGCGCAGTGGGAAAATGGTATCAAGAGGAGCTTTGAAGGCCAAGACAGGGCATGGAGGGTCACCCTGCCCCATGCATGCTACCAACGCGGAGCACCGCCATCCTTGCAACTTGAAAAGTTAGTCGCCAAACCTGTCATTGTGGATGGGACAGAAGAACCTTTTAACGTCTCTGCATAGGGGGTTTGTAGAAGACATTTTCGACAACGTCATCTCGCAGATTCGTGCTCTGGTCAACGACCAAATAAGCGCGGTCGAGAAGAAATCAGGCCATCTGCCCAAGGTAGCTCCAAATTGAATACCAGCATAAACGCTCCAGCTAACTGGTCCCGCAGGCTGTCGTGCTCGTGGGCGGGCTAGGAAGCTGCCGATATTTATTCAAGAAACTGAATGAAGAGAACGAACCCCGTGATATTCGGGTGCAACAATCCCAAGGTGATAAGCCGTGAGTATGCCATAATGATCGCTATGGAGGTAGCTCACTTAATCGTTAGGTGGACAACTATATGTCGAGGCGCTGTTCTTAAAGCCTTGACGAACACTCAGCTTCCTGGAGTCACTGTCTATTCCCGAATATCAAGACACAGCTATGGAATCGAACACAACACCGATTTTGACCCCACACGTCATCGCGAGGACGAGAAGTTCACTGACGAAGTGACTGGGACAGAGCGAGTGAAACATGAAATGACATGGTACCTGAAGCGAGTAAGATCATACCGTAGCTCACTTTTCTGCTCGTCGCATCTGATAGCGATATAGGGTGACGATATTGAAGAGACAAAGCCCGTTAAACTAGGATGGCACAAGCACATATCAGCGGATTACGGCTCCACCTATTCGTTTGCGGTGGATATATCACTCTGTGGGGAGTTGACACCACCCAAGAGATACAACAACACTGTCAGATCGAGCTGTACTCTTAAGGCTGATTTGGACATATCTCATATACCGATCATTCAAGGATTTGATGGTAATCGGTACAAACGAGCACACTTTGATATTGAGATGACTGTCATCGGAACGGCTTTGGACTTCGCTCTGTTTGTACAGGGGAAGAGAATAAACCACAGTCAGGTCGAAACGGAATTTGAGGATTAGATTAGGTACGGGCACTAGTATTTCGGAAGGCCAGGCGATAATCCGAAACCGTGTAAAAGTGTGTAAACCTGTCTCTAAGATTGACCATCTATCTAGAGTCTGATCAGCTTTGGCTGAATCGCGAACGCAATCAACTGTGGAACGCGTCGCACGTGTCTCACGCGATATCATACCCATGTACTACACTATTCACTCATTAGGCATAGCTCCTCTCTCGTACAGTATATAGTCAGCCCAGAGCTCTATCGAGCTCCTCAGACCTTACAAGACACTCGTTCAATCCACTTTGTTTGGATCTCACTACCTTGTCGACTCGCTTCCCATATGACCCTCATGCAAGAGAACGTCTCCTGCCTGTGCTCGAGCAAACGTAAGTACTGGAGAGGACATACTATAGTGGGAAACAGTACTACTGCCATAGGGTTAAGTTGCCCCCCAGGGCGAGAATGTATATCTTGTATATGCCATTAAGGCTTACCCCTAGGGGCAAGAAGTCCTAGCCCTAAATCTATTGCCTCTAGCCTCTAGCTTAAAGGCTTGCCCCTAGGGGCAAGAGCTGCCTGCCCTGCATCTATATGCCCCTAGGCTCTAGACTAAAGGCTTGCCTCTAGGGGCAAGATCTTTCTCTACTATGTCCTTACATGTAGTTTCTGTCTAAAAGGCTTGCCCTAAAAGGGCATAAGCTTCCTGCCCCTAGCATCCTTACCCCTTAGGGTAAGAACTAAAGTAGCTTTACTAAAATAAATAACTACCTGCGCTTTTTCTCTATTCTTAGACTTACACTTTATAAAACTAATTTTCTCTTTACCTTCTCTCTTTTTACTATCTTCTTATTTGCATTTAACACTAGACTTATTATAAAATAAAACACTAAAACCTATTAACCTCTAGTAAGAGAAAAAAGAAGTAGCATTATTAAAAGCCTAAGTCTAAAGCTGTAGCCCTTAAAAAGATAAAGTTAGTTTATAAGCTAGCAAAACTATATTAACTAGTAATAGTAAAATTCCTAATTAATGCACTTACTTTAGAATAAACTATTAGTAAAAACTAATTTATTAATAAAGCGTATAAGTAGCAGCTTTATAAAATATTTAGTAAATAAAGTGTTTTTTTAAAAGATTTAAGTTATTAAGCTAAAATAGTGTGCACTAAAAAGTAAGTAAAAAAGATGCTAGATTATCTTAGCTAAAAGTAGGCGCAGGATAGATAAGTTGCTGCTGTAAGAAAGAATATATAAAAAAAAAAGTTTAAGTAGCCTTTATATAAAAATTAAAATATAGTAGTAAAAAAAAGGCTAAACTTATAGCAGGTAATTATAAAGTAGAGGCTCTAAAAAAGCACCTACAGCTTTTAGGTTATAGTAAGGAAAAGTAATAGTAAATTTATAACATTTATAATAAAAGTTAAAACTAGCTCTTTTTAAAATAAGTAAACTAATGCAAGCTAATACTAAATAAAACGCACTACTACTACATCTACACACTAAGCTTTAGGCTAACTAAAAAGATTTAATTTTACCTAATAACTATAGCTAAATATAGACAAAGTTAGCAACTTTATTATCTTTAGATAATACACTTTTTTAAAGCCTAAAGATAAAGGGTTAGTAATAAATGCTAGAACACCTTAAGCTAAGTAGTTAAGTTAAATTATTAGTAAAGCAACTAAGCACTTTATAAAGAAATTAGAATTAGAAGTAAATAATTATAAAATAGTGTAAAATTTTACTTAGCTAAGCAACAGTTAACATTTTTATATTTAAATAGATAGCAAGCTGTAGGATTAATAATATAAGTAAATACTACTAAAAGTAATTAAAATTATACTAAGAGTATAGTAGTGCTAGTTTACTACATTCTACTCTATAATTAACTTAATATCTTAAATATATAGTAAATTTAGCATTAATATTTAGTCTAGTAACTAGATTTAGTTAGTAAGTCTCTTATAAGTATAAAAGCTTATAAATATTTAATAACTATTTTACTTTAACTTAGACAACTAAAAAGATGTTACTTTTTACTAGTAGTAAAACCTTTTCTTAACAGCTAGTAATAATATATATAATAGTCTATATTAATTTATGCTTTTAACGCTAGACCTAGGCTTTATAGATGTCTACTCCCTTCTTAAGACTATAAAGTAGAAAGGGAAGGTAATAAGCATTATTATATCTTATATTTACTAATAGCTAAACTTTAATTTTATAAGAGTTAGCAAGTATAACAATAATAAGCCTCTTTTGCATAAAAATCTCCTGCTGGCTTTGTAGAAAAAGAAGGGTAATAATATAAAAAAGTAGTCTATAAAACTCTAAAAGTGTCTTTTAAGGTATGTTAAAGACAAAATACGTAATTTTACTAGCCTAGAAATAAAGCATTACCTACATAAGTACTTAGACAATACTAGAGATGCTTATGCTAAATAGTTTAAGCATTAGGCATAGAAAGACATGCTAATTCTTTGTCACAGTATCCTCCCCAGATCCTAGACATAACTGTATTAGACGTGTACTAGAGTATTATTAGTGCACGTCTAACATAAACACAACACAACACAGACATAAACTTAAGCATAAACTGCCTTAACACTAATAAAACCTAGAATAGGCTTAATTTATACTTAAAGCGCTTAGACTTCTAAGCTAAGTATTTAATTACTAATTTCCTTCTAAACTTTCTTATTTTTTACATAACATCTTATACTTACTATAATACTTTACATAGTAATTAAACTAGACTTTTATAAAGCTTTATAACCTTACTTATGCATAATTATAATATTATACTCTGTTAAAACTTTAGCTAAGAATAGCCTCTAAATCTAATCTAATAAGCTTAGTACTTATATAACTTTAAGCTATTAAAGTAAGCTAAAAAGCTTTTTAAAAAGCACTTACTTTATAAGAAAGCTACTATATTATAAGCTTAAAAGCTTTTTAAAAGGACTTTAAAAAATAGCTTTATATTATTAAGCAGTCTATTTCTACCTTAACTCTTATTATAGTAGTAGAAACTAAGAACTTACTAGCCTTAAAGCCTACTTAGAAGTCTAGAGATAGCTTAACTCTTTTCTATCTAACACTACTTATAACCTGTAACTTTTCTAACTTAGTAATAAAATCTAACTAACTCTCTAATCCTCTACTGTTTAATAAAAAATAAAAATACTTACTTTTCTTCCTACATAAGCTTTAATATAAACTTAAAAGAAACATAGACTAATTCCCCTCTAAATGCTTTTAGTTACTATATGCCTACTTTTAACTTAACTACAACATAACAGCCTTAATTAACTTACTAATAAATAAAAATATTATTAACTTAAATTAATTTATAGTGTTTTTATAAGCAACTTATAAAGACCTAAATAAAGAGTTAATAGCTCTAAGTTACCTAAACACTTTATAATAAAAAAAAAAAGCTTTACTTTACACTTTACTAAGTTCTACTAACTTACATTTAATACAGGCCTAAATAAGATAGGTTTAATTATAGCCTTATATAACTCTCTTTTAACTAAACTATAACGCGCTATAGTAGAAGAACCCCTTCTAAACAACCTTAACGCGTATGTGAACCTAATTGCTACCTATAATAATAACATAAGGTTCCTCCTTGTACAAGCCCTAATACACCCCTAAACTAGCGCAGTTATAAATAAGAACTCTAACATAATAAAAATTAATTTAAATTATGCTTTAGTTAGTTCTAGAAAGCGTAAAGATTATAAAAAGAAAAGTTAATGCTTTAAGTATAGTAAGCATAGTTATATTTTCTAAAACTGCTTTATTTGTAAGGCTAGATGTCCTAGAACAGGCTAGTATGGCCTTACCTAACCTGTTTAGAGGTTGTATGACCTGTGCTTTGTATATAAGCATAAATCCTAACAAGCAATATGTAAAGAACAAGGCTCCGCACCACTCCGCTAATACAACTAAAAGGTATGAATAATCAACCAACGTTAATTTTTAGGTGCAGAATAGTATATATACCTGTCGCACGTAAGCGCTATCTTAGCCTTACATTATTCTCTTTTTTTAAGTCTAGACAAGTAGCGCTGCTAGTACTTATTAAAAATTTTTACTATTTTAATCTTATTTTTATAAGGGCTCTAACTTATATTTAAGCTCTAATCTTTCTTACTACTCTTAACATAGCTGCAGCTATAGCAGTAGAAGCCTGCAACAAAGCTTATTCTAGGGCTAAGTTGCCCTTTAGGACTAATTTAACACTAAATCTCTACTAACTTATAGGCTAAGTCCCTTACTAATAACTAAAAGTACTAAGTTAATATTTTTATATATTTATAATAAAGAACTATATTAGCTCTAATATAGGCTTTTATTAACTTAGAAGTAAACAGTATAAGTTACATTAATAAAAAACTAGTGCGTAAACTAAATCTTTAATTAACACTACTTACCTAAATAATTTACCTAACTAGATTTAATAGAAAACAACTTAAAAAAGGTTTTATTTTTTATACTACAACTATTATAATTACTTACTAACACTATAAGAAGTAAATTAAGCTTTATGTAATAAACATAGAACATTATAACCTAATCCTAGGATAACTATAGCTGTATTAGTATAAAGTTACTTTTAATTACTAAGAGTAAGTTCTAAACTTTAACTCTTTCTAATACTAAAATATATGCTTATGCTTACACCTAAATAATACTTAAGTAGCACTTAATATAGAAGGTTTCTAGACTTACTTTTTAATAACCTAAAAAAGAACTACCTAAGCTAGGCTAATAAGCTAGGCCTTTTACTAAAATAGGCTATGTAAAATAATTTAATAACTGCTTAAACTTAAAGAAAAAAAAGCTTTTAAAAAATCTTTACTTACTTAATTTAAACATAAACTAGGACTTAAACAGTAGATAGACATCTACTATATAGAACCTACCTTATTTATAACCCTAGCTTAACAACTAGATTATAAAATTTACGCAGTTATAATTTCTAATATAAACTAAGCTTTAGCTCTTTAAAAACACACTAACTTAAAAATAATAGTCTCTTAAAACTACTATAACATGTTGTATGTTTTTTTCTAAGATAAGTTTAATAAGCTTTTAATATAATGTCTATATAATTACTAAATAACTCTTAAGCCTAGTAAACAACCTAGTTATAGGCTACTATATAAGATGTTACTAAATAAATTAAAAGTGCTTTAAAAATACCTTAATAAGAACTTAAAAAAAGGTTTAT